TTTCTAGTTCCCCAGTCCCAGGTCCCAGTGTCTGATTGGCAGCCCAAGATCCTGCCCTCTGATACACAAACTTGTCCTGATGTCCAACTCTGGGTCCCAGGCCAGTGCAGAGAAGCTGTGCCGGGCCTATGAGGATCAGCTCAGTGAGGCCAAGATCAAAGTAGAGGAGCTGCAACGGCAACTGGCGGACGCAATCACCCAACGTGGGAGGCTACAGACTGAGAGTGGTGAGCCAGGGGGTCAGCTGGGCTACGCTGGGCAGGGCCTTGGTGCTGTCTCTTGCCTGCCTGAGTCATGCTTACTCTGCACCTGCAGGAGAGATGAGTCGCCTGCTGGAGGAGAAGGAGTCTCTGATTAGCCAGCTGAGCCGAGGGAAGGCCTCGGCCACCCAGAGCCTGGAGGAACTGCGGAGGCAGCTGGAGGAGGAGAGCAAGGTGGCTGGCACTGGCGACCACAGAGTAGGCAGGTGGTTCCAGGGCCGCTAGCCTGGACCAATGCTGAGGTCACTGTGTCCCTGCAGGCCAAGAATGCGCTGGCTCATGCCGTGCAGGCCCTGCGGCACGACTGTGACCTCCTGCGGGAGCAGCATGAGGAGGAAGCTGAGGCTCAGGCCGAGCTGCAGCGGCTGCTGTCCAAGGCCAACGCCGAGGTGGCCCAGTGGAGGAGCAAGTACGAGGCTGATGCCATCCAGAGGACTGAGGAGCTGGAGGAGGCCAAGTGAGTGCCCTGTCAGCCGGTTGTCACCATGCAGAGGTTTACACTGCTCTGAGCACAGTCAGGCAAGGAGAGATGCCGGGCCCTTCTGCCGGCCTCCTTCCCCACACAGCCCACACCCTGTCTGGTTCATGGCTTAGAAAGAAGCTGGCACTGCGGCTGCAGGAGGCAGAGGAGGGCGTAGAGGCCGCGAATGCCAAGTGCTCATCACTGGAGAAGGCCAAGCTGCGGCTGCAGACAGAGTCCGAGGATGTGACCCTGGAGCTGGAGCGGGCGACCTCGGCAGCTGCTGCGCTGGACAAGAAGTAGCGGCACCTGGAGCGGGCGCTGGAGGAGCGGCGGCGGCAGGAAGAGGAGATGCAGCGGGAGCTGGAGGCGGCACAGAGGGAGGCCCGTGGCCTGGGCACCGAACTCTTCCGACTGCGACACAGCCACGAGGAGGCGCTCGAGGCCCTGGAGACACTCAAGCGGGAGAACAAGAACCTGCAGGGTATGAAGGGCCACATGCCAGGGTCAGGGGGCAGGAGCACCTTGGAATTGCTCAGGGACCAGCCTGGAATTAGGGGTAAATCAAGTGACCTGAATTGGCACCAGCACCATGGGGATGGCCCCTCAGAGCCCTGTCTGCTCTGCAGAGGAGATCAGTGACCTCACCGACCAGGTCAGCCTCAGCGGGAAGAGCATCCAGGAACTGGAGAAAGCCAAGAAGGCACTGGAAGGGGAGAAGAGTGAGCTCCAGGCTGCGCTGGAAGAGGCCGAGGTCAGGGCTGGCTGCTGGGTGGGTGGGTGTGTGCTGACCTGCTGCTCCCCTGGAGTCCCCCTTCCTAATGACATGCTCACAGCCCTCACCCCATACATCTCCCCAGGGGGCCCTGGAGCTGGAGGAAACCAAGACTTTGCGAATCCAGCTGGAGCTCTCCCAGGTCAAGGCTGAAGTGGACCGGAAGCTGGCGGAGAAAGATGAGGAGTGCACTAACCTGAGGCACGCCCTCCTCCTCCCTCCCGAGGAAAGAAATGGGGGGAGGCGGCGTTGGTTGTGCCTACCATGTCTACCATGTCTGGGGCTGCACATGCATCTGGTCTGCCCCTCCCGTGTGATTTTCTCAAGTCAGGGTTGTCTTCAATTTTATTCCCAGAGGTAGTCGGAGAGAGGCTTAAGTACTTGCCTACTACCACAGAGGGGGCAGAGCCAGTGTCAGTCTGTCATTCTACCTCTGAGCCTCACTCTTGTCCACGGACCTGCTCTGATAGGCAGCAGGTGTCATAAAGGCTTTAAATCAGGGAGGGACCACTCATGCATTCCCAAAATGGGTCCCGTCTCCAACGGTCCTTGGGTACTTGTAGTGGTGGCAGGCATGATGCGTGCACCATCCTCTCCTCACAGACCCAGGCACCCTTTTACACCCTGCCCTCCCACAGGCGAAACCACCAGCGGGCAGTGGAGTCCCTGCAGGCCTCCCTGGATGCCGAGACTAGGGCCCGCAATGAGGCACTGCGGCTAAAGAAGAAGATGGAGGGCGACCTTAATGAGCTGGAACTGCAGCTGGGCCATGCCACCCGCCAGGCCACAGAGGCACAGGCAGCCACCCGGCTGGTGCAGGCCCAGCTCAAGGAGGAGCAGGCAGGGCGGGACGAGGAGCAGCGGCTGGCGGCCGAGCTCCGTGAGCAGGCCCAGGCCCTGGAGCGCCGGGCCACGCTGCTGGCTGCAGAGCTAGAAGAGCTGCGGGCTTCCCTGGAGCAGGGCGAGCGCAGCCGACGGCTGGCAGAACAGGAGTTGTTGGAGGCCACAGAACGCCTCAACCTCCTGCATTCGCAGGTGGGGCCAGGGTGGGGGTTCCATGGGAAAGGATGGGCAAGCGCCTGCTGGCCAGCTCTGAGACTCTGCTTCCCCACAGAACACAGGCCTCCTGAACCAGAAAAAGAAGCTGGAGGCAGATTTGGTCCAGCTGAGTGGGGAGGTGGAGGAAGCTGCACAGGAGAAGCGGGAGGCTGAGGAGAAGGCCAAGAAGGCCATCACTGATGTGAGGCTAGGCCAGAGCTGCAAGGTTGGCGGGGCACACAGAACCCCAAGGACTCCCCGGAGCTGGTACCTTCTGACTGTGGGCTGCCGCCTCCATAGGCAGCCATGATGGCTGAGGAGCTGAAGAAGGAGCAGGACACGAGTGCACACCTGGAGCGGATGAAGAAGACGCTGGAGCAGACAGTGCGGGAGCTTCAGGCGCGGCTGGAGGAGGCAGAACAGGCCGCCCTCCGAGGTGGGAAGAAGCAGGTGCAGAAGCTGGAGGCCAAGGTGTGTGCGCCCCTTCTGTGCTTTCCCCTCAGCTGGGAGGGCAGCCTATGCCAGGCTTGGCCCTGAGGCCCATCTGGCCGCCTGCAGGTGCGGGAGCTGGAGGCCGAGCTGGACGCAGAGCAGAAGAAGCATGCTGAGGCCCTCAAGGGGGTGCGCAAGCACGAGCGCCGGGTCAAGGAGCTGGCATACCAGGTGGGCGTGAGGGTCCTCTCAGGGGCAGCCCCAGAGCTGACCCAGTCCTGACAAGCCCTGAGTCCCCTCTGCCCACCCAGACTGAGGAGGACAGGAAGAACCTGGCTCGAATGCAGGACTTGGTGGACAAACTGCAGAGCAAGGTCAAGAGCTATAAGCGTCAGTTTGAGGAGGCGGTGAGTGCACTGGGGTCTGGGCCCCGGGGACCTACTGACCAGCTTGCCTGGGTGATCCATATTCAACCACAGCTGGTTGTGAGTTAGGAGCAATGGTAGCTCCATCTTCCCGGCTCCGTGATGCCACTGCCCCTGTGGGTGTGACCTACCTCTCAGAATGGCCGTTCTTTCCCATCACTCTGGCTGGAGAGGGGCCAGGTGGGTACACGGGCCTCCTGAAGGCATGACTCACCGTATTCCTGCCATGGATATTGGTGAGTTGGGAGAACGGGGGCAGGAAGAGAACAGAGGTCCAGAGTTCCCCTCTGGGATGGGGTGGGGCCCACAATAACTGCCCAGTTACCAGAGGGGAACCAAGGCTCTGCGTATGCCTCAGGAGCAGCAGGCTAGCACCAACCTGGCCAAGTATCGCAAGGCCCAGCATGAGCTGGAGG